CGATGTATATATGTATATACACACACACACACACACACACACACACACACACACACACACACACACACACACACACACACACACAGTACTTGTTACTTTCTTTAAATGTTCTTTAATACACTGATGTAAAAATTGACCTCCAGGTATTTTCACAGTTTTAGAATGTTGCTATTTTTTGCTTTTTGTTTGCATTTCTTGAACTAAAGTAATTTATCTTATCTCCTACTTCTTACAGTTAAATAATACTCGCTCCAAAGAGTGACATACAAAGTACTGAAAAGTTTAAAAAGCAATTATTCTAAACTAAACCCAACGGAAATTATAATTTTACAAATAAAGAACTTGTACTGTCATATAGCCTAATATAGGTTTATTTTATTTTACTTTTACTAAAGCAGGTCCATGATGAAACACACCATAGGTTCAATACAAAGAAAATTTTTCAGCTTTTTAACATTAAGTTCTATCTTCTTCTAGTTGTACATCAATAGACTCATAAATAAAAGTATTCCTCAAATAAAACTCTTAAATAAAAAATAAATCCAGTGGAGACGAGCGTCAGAGCAGCTCTTCCTTAACTTAATGTTGATCTAAATTAAGCAGCAGGAAACAAAGTCCATGTATGGACCGCTGCTGGGAAAGAAAGAAAACATCACAATAACATGAAAAATAAAACTTCCAATCAACTCGTCATTATTTTTGCTCGCTGGAAAAGTTTTAACTAAGAAATGAATGTGTGAAGCTGCAGCTGCAGAATGAGGCCTCAGGAGTGAACACGTCATGTCCAGTTTTTAACGTCATTCACAAAGTTTCACAGGTTTGATTCTTTAAATGAAGTTTACAGAAATAAATAAAATGTGTGTAGTTAAAACAGATTTGTGTAAAAAAAAGGTTAGAACTTTTTATGATAAGTGTTTAAACATGTAAAGGCACGTTGTGATGTGCAAACAAGACAAACACGACAATACAAAACACTGAAATTAAGTTATTCATAGTTTAGCTTAAAAAATGTCAATAAATTTAATAGGTATTACAGTTGAATGTTAAAATGTTGATAAATTCAATTTTTGTTAAAGCACATTCAAATAAATGTATTATATTAATCAACTTTTATACAATCCCTTAACAATTAATTCTGAATCATTTAAAAATCATTATAAGAAAAAATAGCACAGCTGTGATGTTTTTAAACTAAATTTATTGATTCTAAGCAAATAAAACATTTTTGAAAAGATGGCTATGCAACAATTAAACATTTCTATTAATTAGATTTTTGTCCGTTTTTCATTCTCAAACTGTTTTTCTCTTTACGTAAAAAATGCTAAATATTTTAAATCGAGATGTAATTTTGTAATAATTGTTTTTATAAAAGATTGTATTTTATGATGGAGAAATTATAAAAACTTAAATTTACTTTAAACATTCTGCTGTTTAATACAAAATCTGCCCACATTATTATTTTACTTTAATGTTTAAAGCCAGTTTTTGACATTACAAACAGCTTGTAAATACTTGGAAATTTATTCCCAATTTATATATATATATATATATATATATATATATATATATATATATAACTTTTCCTAAATCCCCTAAATAAAATGCATTGCTCGCTTTATTCTTTTTTTTTGTCATATTTTTAATTTCTAAAAACTTTACACAAAACATTTGCATTTATTTTACATTCTAGGAAACATCTGTTGTTTTTACACACTGTATTATTTGAATGAAATGAATAAATGAAGAGCAGATGTGCACATGCTTATTTATTCCCCAGAATTGATTTACTTCTAGAAAAAGCAGAAAAGTGTTGAATTATTGAAGATCATCGTATAATTAAAAGTTTCTGCTCTTACCTCTGTAACGGTTCGTTCATCTCGGGGGGGTATCCACCACCCTGTCCCTGTCCCAGCATGTTTGGCCTTTTCCACACACTTTCAGCGTCTCCTATCAGCACCCTCAGCCTTTACGCCTCTTTTCAAATTAGCTGCTACAATCCAAGAACAACAGATCTCGATGAGTCCGTTTGCTCTGCAGCCTGTTTGTCTTGCTCCTCAGCGGATGGACAGATGATCAGAAGAACAGCAGCCCGAGAAGAGACGACGGAGACCTCAGCTCCTCCTGAGAGGCAGCAAAGCCCCCTCCAGCCTTCAGCAACTCTATCCCTGCAAGTTTCACACTTGCTTCACTTCCTGTGAAGCGTCAGGAGATGAGGACCTCAGAGTGGTGCCTCTGCAAAGGGAAAGCTGCTGGTTGACTGAGTGAAGAGGGAGGTGGGCTCAGGGGGCGGCAGAGTTAAGCAGGACCAAATGGGAGCTCCACGCAGCACAACAACAGGGACAAGAAAGTCCCTGCAGCCACTGCTGATTATCACCTCTGCAGCCACACACACACACACACACACACACACACGTCTGCAGTCTGGCCAGTGAAGGGATGCACTGAGCTTCTGGGAATGCCATCAGTCACTCAGTGGAAGTTAAGATCAATTTAGCTGCTGAATCACTGCAGGGCTCCAGTTTCCAGAGCTGGAACATGATGTGAGATTATTCACATGTTGGAACCGTCTGACAGCGTGAGGCAGCACCAAACTGCGTTTGTGTGGCGTGGCTCATAATAAATCTGAATTTCTGAAAGAAAACATCAACAATGCCTGATGCACCAACACCAAGTGAAGAGACGGCTCGGGTTGTGCAGAGATCACTGCTGGAACTGGAAACTGGATTGTCTCCCATGATGGGGTCTGAGAATCTCAGCTGGACTTGTCTCTCCAGGATGATGAATTACTGAAGGAAATATGATTTTTTTTGTTTGTTTGTTTTCCCAGAAAATCAATAGATTAAATGAAAAATGTACATTCAGAACATATGTCAAAAGGAATTCTGCTGCGATAAACTCCAAATGTTAACATTAAAAAAATAAATAAAACAGCATGAAGCCCTTTATATATAGCTTTTACTAATTAAAAAGCACTAAAGCAAGAAAATATGAAATGATTTAACTTTATAAAAGGAATTATCAAATAGATTTCTAGTAAGGTTTCCTCTCAAACTCAATTTTTCAGATTTTTCTGACAATTTTGAGGCCATTTTCATTTAAAACTCTACAAACATTTACTAAAAATTAGGAATAAATGTTTGCACACAGTACTAAAAAGAAAAGAATGGTTATCTTATCACATAATTCAAGCTGTTTTTATTAATGCTCTTGTAAAACTAAATTTAACGTTTGGAGCCAGAAATAGGCATTTTTATTGCCTTTTCTTGTAACTGAAATGTTACATACAATTCATACAACATAAGAATATCTCAGCATAAATCATACTTTTAAACTTAATTTCCTAAAGAGCTTTATGTGTTTAATATTCACACCCAGCAGACATGTGAGGGTCTGAAACTGGCCAGAACCTGAGTTTCCATGTGCAATATTTATACGTAAAAAGCACTCTTCTCCTCCTTCTAATTGTTCTGTTGGACCTTTTCTTTTATCAGATTTTCTTCTTGAAAAAAATGGAAAAAAAATCTAAACACAAATGTTTTTCAGTTTATCTATCATTCAGACTTTTTTTTTTTTATCCTTGAAATACAAAACTGCATCGTTTTTCAAAACCTTGTAAAAATCATTTTAATGGTTATAAATGTGGAGTAATGAGTGGAGAAGAAAAATAAATAAACAGCAACACAAGATCCTGAAACGCACAGACACCATTTCTGGTTCTGATGATCCAAACCAGCTGACAGTTGTTGTCAGCTGGTTGGCTTTAAACATATTTTAGGCACACAATGCAATTTAAAGAAACAGAGACAGAAAGAAATCTGCGTTACCCCCAACACTTATGTATATGTACGTCTGTACATGTACTGTATATGTACATGCATGCTTTTTTATATATATATAGGATTGTATACCTGGATTATTGAGCATGGACTTTGTTGTTTTCAACCAGTTTGACAAAACTGTCAACAAGGAAGAGGGCCGGCAATGGAGGAGGGGGCGTACCAAAGAGACCATCTTATCACAAGCAGAACTGGTTTGTTCCACTTTGGAGCAAGCTGTTGGAGGAAGAATCAGTTTTGTTGTGTGTTTCCTTGACTGATGAAGTCTTCTGGATCTAAGGCGAAACGTTTCAGCACAAAAAAAGAAACTGTCCAGATGAGCTGACTGAAAAATGTTGGATTGTATACCTGGATTATTGAGCATGGACTTTGTTATTAATGAGACACTTGGTTTGCCCTAATACTCGATGGCCATCTAGTGGCTGAAAATGGTAGTGTTCAATATTGTTCATGTCAGAATAAATGAAATCATCAGATCTCAGCCAAAAATTGTGTTATAAATATGGGATAAAAAATGTACATTAGTGGCTTTGGTGTATAAGTCACAGGACTTGCAAATTTATGTAAAAAAGGTGCGACCTATACGGTGAAAAATATGGTATATATCTATAGGTTTATCATGAATGCAGTACTCCCTACCACCTTGTGCATGTGCATATTGTCTTTTATTGTGTATTCTGCTTCATTTTTAATTATTTCATAAGTTTTTATGTTGTATAATTATAAAATGCTACTGGATGCCTCAAATTTCCCCCCAATAAAGTATCTATCTCTCTAAAAATTGTTTCAGCGTATATTGTTTGACTGTATCGGTGTATGTATGTACAAATTATGTATGTATGTATGGATATATGTATGTATGCATGTATGTATGTATGTATGTATGGATGGATGGATGGATGGTTGGTTGGATGGATGAGGATCTAAATTAGAAATCATTGCAAACTGAATCATTATCCTCTCTACCATCAAACCATCCTAGATTATGAACGACTAAAAGAATAAAAGGTTATCTGTACTGACAACCTGTGCCGTGTGTGTGAACACGTGTGTACTGTATATTCATGTGACAACGCTACATAACAATTCGCCACACACATGCACATTTATTTTTGGCCCTGTGGGGAAAGCAGATACCACTGTAGGCAGAAGTGCTTTCTATAACGGTGCACGTCTGGATAACTCGGTGTTAAACATGGCTGTCACAGTTAAAATGAAACTCCTGCAGTCTGTAAAAACCACCAATGGTTTTGGAAACGGTTGCCTTCTTTGGGTTCCCAGTACTGAAGAGGAAAGAGCAAACCACAGTTTTCCTCATTGATCTGATCCATCAATTTAAAAATAAATGCTTAATTTAAATTTGTAGGTTTGCCTTTTTTTTAAGGAAACAAGAAATCACTGTGCAGACGAACAACATTTTTTTTCTGTTGCTGTTAATCAAACTTTAACATTCACAACGGTATCCCACTAAGAAACAAACAAACATCAAAATCAGACCTGTAAAAAAAGTCAAACTTCCTCCTTCGAAAGCACTCTGGTAATCTGAGTAGCCCATTCTCACTACTCTAAATGCGTGAAATGAAACCACATTTCCCACAATGCACCACTGCCGCCTCACCCAGCTAAGATTAGCGCAGCGGTGTGAACTGAGAAGTGACATGTAATTTGTCATATATAGTGTGGACAGCTGTGGTTAAAAAGCAGAGTGATGAGAAGTCAAATTTGACCATCACGAGTGGCAACAAGAAGCTTCATAATGAACGAAGCAGTGACAAAGTGTGCAACATCTGAGTGTTCACAAAACTCTTTAAAACATCTCCAGATGATCCAAAAGGCTGCTGCTTCCCGTCAAATTCAGAATAGAATTCAAAACCCTACTTCTAACCTACGAAGCTCACAACACCCTAGCTCCATCTTGTATCAAAGATCTTATTGTTCCCTATTTAACTAACAAAGCACTTTGCTCTCAGTCTTCAGGTTTATTTGTGGTTCCTAGAGTTACTAAAAGTAGAATGAGAAGCAGAGCTGGCTCCTCTCTTGTGGAACCAACTTGTAGTTTCTGTCCATGAGGTTGACCACTTGGCTACTTTTAAGACGTTAAGACATAAGATGTTCCTTTTTGATAAATCCTATAGTTAGGGTCGGCTTGGGTTTCCTGAGCTATCGCTTAGTTATGCTGCTATAGACTTAGACTACTAGAGGCCAAACTGACCACACTTCCTCCCTCTGCTGCTGTCTTTACTCACTCTAGTTTTCATGTTTCTACTTGCAGTCATTGTTGCCATTAACAACAAAGTCCATGCTCAATAATCCAGGTTGTTGCCATTAACGTGTTTTTCTTTGTTTTTTGCTATAGAAACCACACCTGGACCAACCTTTCTGGTCGTCTATGTCTCTTTCTTTTTCTCTCAAATTCAAGCTGTTCAAGACAGATGGTCTTTTGTCCTGAGTCTGGTTCTGCCAGAGGTTTCTTCCTATGAAAAATGAGTTGTTCCTCTCATCAATGTGCTGCTCAGGATGGGCGATTGCAACAAAGTGAAAATTTGACGCAGTCAAATTCAGTGGGTTATAAAACGGCACTTGTTGAAAAGTTACTGGTCTATGTTTCCAGCAGACCTCTTAAAGTCTTCACTTAGATTCAGTCACCAGCCTGAACAAGCATGAGGCGACAGTGGAGAGGAATGACACTTATAACTGAAAGAAATCTCCTACAGAACAAGAAGAATGGCAGCTATCGGCCTCGACCGGCTGGATAGTCGAGAGGACAAGAAAGACACAAACATGGTAACCCTGATCAGACGTTTCATCTATGAAAGGCAAAAACAAAGAGGAGAAAACAAACGTAACGGCAACACTAATTGCAAATACCCAATCTGAAAATAAACCCATGAACTAGTTTCTATGGGTTGCCATTTGTAAAGTTACACAGTCAAAAATTAAAAGCAATATTTTGGTTTATGGCCTTTAATATAAAAAAAAAAGTTTGTTTTTTATCAAAGTCATATTTTCACCATGTTATTCATACATGTATACATGTCATAGTTCCAAACAAAATGTTTAATTAAAAAGCTAAATATTTAGTTTACAAACTAAATACTTAACTTGCATGTTAAATATTTATTTAGCAAGCTAAATATTTAGCTACACACTAAATATTTAGTTTAGAAACTAAATGTTTATGTCCAAGCTAAATGTTTAATTTACAAACTAAACATTTAATTTCTAAGCTAATCATTTAATTCCTAAACTAAATATTTAGCTTGGACCTAAATATTTATTTTCCAAACTAAACATTTAATTTCCAAAATAAATATTTAATTTGCTAACTAAATATTTAGCTTG